GCTCTTCCACGCATCAAGAGACATGAATTGAAGAGGACCCAAACTGACTGTATTCCTGCATCCTAATCTCACATACCCATACCTCTCATGGCATGGAGACTTATTCAAGCAGGTCATCATGGTATATGTCTCTGTGCTAGACATATCCTTGTAATCTAGATTTCCTTCATCCAAAAATAAATTGCTTCCTCCAGCTAGGCCTCCCAGAATGATGCAAATACCTCAGCATGATGAATTAGATCCCATCTAAGATGGTCATGATCTAAAAAACAGTATGTAGATTCTGCTGCTCCTACTGCAATGACATCATTCTCCATCATATATACACTATTAATGACTCTTAAAGCCTTTCAAAATCTTCTAAAGAAAATGGTAGATACCTGAGAAGTGTCTGTGGAAGGCATCCAAGAAAGTCACCTGAACTGTTTGACAACTTGCACCTTTTGACTCTAGATACATTAGCAATGGCAATTAATAAGGAAATCCTGCCGTTTCTAAAGAGAAGATACCTTTGCCATGTCCCTCCAAACAGATCTAAATATATTTACATTAATCCTGTTGCAGAACTCCAGAACAGCTGCAATACAACTGAAAACAGGAACAACCTAATCTTCCTCAGTCAATAGGTAACTTCACACTTCGTCTAACTACCCCACAATGAAAATTTTTTTTATAGATGGGCTCATGGTAGGAATAGAAATGGTAAAGATCAGGCAAATTATATTTGTAAAACATGTGTTATGCCTTATTAGAAGTACAGTCTTTCAACCATAGGGAAATAAACTTAGCTGAAATCTTCCATATTTAAAAAAGTGTACAGAAGCTGTGTCTTATATGAAGAAAAACAATTTTTTTCAGAAAAGCACTGTACCTTGGGGGTAAAATCTAATTCTTCTTCTTCTGAAGAAAGCCAGCTGTCATCACCTTCACCTTTTTCAGAACTTCTTAAATAAGAAACATAAAAGTAAGAATAAGACTCATTCTCACTCTTTAAGTTTTGCTAAAACATGTCAGATATCTTTTAAATCTTACCTTACTGAGTCTCCTTGGGAAAGGTCATCTATAACTGTTCAAATATTGATTAAAAAATAAATTTTAGCATTGAAAGCATAGGACTTTGAAGTTGCCAGCAATTTATAAAAATATTTAGCATGTGCAAACATTACAGTAATTCCAAGATGAATTTTATATAGACATCTTAATCCAGAGTAGCATGAATGAAATATATGCTCTAAATAACTGGTCTGTCAGATGAAAAATGCTGTCACAGAAAGCAACAAATGACGTTTCCTGTTCTGTAGCTTCTTTTGCACTGCAGTCCAAAATAATATCAAGCAAATGCAAATTTGGTTGCATGATTCTGTAGAAGATAACTTCTAAGACTTTTAAAAAATTGAGAAGAGAGCTAATTCATATACAGAAACTTTTAGGGTTTAATATCTGGAGTAGGTGCTGCACACTGATAGTATATTAAACCACATCCTACACTTGATCCCTGCACTCTCAGTGTTATTGTGAAACATAACACTGAGACATAACACAGAACATAAAGCAAGTTTAGAATCTAAAATTAAACTTAAAAGAGAATCTATAAATGGTGCACAAAATTGAATGAGACAGTTCTATCACCCACTTAGCCCATTCAGAATGAATGGGATGCAAGTGAAACATCCTGCACTCTGGCAAACCCTCACAAGTGGAAAGGGAATAACCTGTACCGGCATTTAAGATACTGTAATAAGCAACCATTTTTTTAAATTGTGGGATCATCACAATTGTGGAGATATTTAAGAAGAACTAAGAAACTGTAATCTTTAGGAAGGAACTGTAAACACTCTTCTGTGCATTGGACAATACTCAAGCACTATTACTTGCTATTTTTGAGATTTTATAGCTAAGTAAGCCAATATAATTTTGCCTTTTCTGACTTTCCATGTAGCATTCTATCTTCCTTGATAAAGTATCCAAAACCATGGAAATCAAGCATCAAAAACTCATGTTAAGTAAAAGACTGATAAACATAACAGAGCCAGAAAACTCAACACTGATATGATAATTACAGTATGTCAACTACTTAGCTGCAGACCATTTCCAGCACTCCTGTTTTAATCCTGGGAAGCTTATTTTGGAGTCTGGCTGATTATTTTTCATTATCTGAACAGAAATTTATACTTTAGTTTATTGTTTACATCTACAGCATCATTCTTGCCAGTTGTAACTTCAATTTTGGGAATAAGTGAAAGTACTAACAATATCATTTTTGATGGCTAAAATTTTCAAAAGTAAGTAGTTTCAGTGAAATATGTTATTTCTTCAGAAGAGGATGTTCTCAAAACATCAATTTATTTTTATTTTTTTCCATCAGAATTCAGATAAGGTAACCTGTTGATTGTTCTTCAGACATGGATTTTCGTTCAAACCCATCTTTATCAAATTTGTAGACTTAAATGAAAAACAATAACAAAGTTTTGCAGTACTATACGAGTCACACAAAATTATAACAACAAAAACCCAAACTAAAAACAATTTAATAAATAAGAGTAAACTATTAACATAAAGCTTGTAAATAAAGGAAAAAATGTTTGCAACTGTCTAGTTGGTCTTATAAAAGATATCGTCTCCAGCACAATAACAGCTATTAACATAGGAACTTGGATTTGAACAAATACTAAATACAGATGTGTATACAAGTTTTGATATTTGGCATGACATGTTTCACACTGGAAAGCTTATTATATAGAATACCTTTCCCTGAATCTCTTGTTCTTGATGTCTGGTTGGGAGATTGCTGCATTTCTATATTTAGGAAAAGGCATGGAAAGGACAGATGAAACAATGAAATCAGAAAATAAATTTGGAAAGTAGGAAATAAATGTATATACAAATATAAAACAGTGGAAGAAACATACCTGCTAGCTATAAGGTATTTAACAATTATGAGAGTATTGAATTAAAAAAGCAATGCAACTTATGCAGACTATTAAAGAACGTAGCTGAATAGTTAATTTTCAATATGCTCTCTATAAATTGAAATATCTTCATTTCAATTTTTTTAAAAGCACTTCTTTACAAGATCTGTATTTTACAAATGCCTCCCTGAACTTGTACAATCCTAAAATATTGCAAACTATTTATTTAGGGGTTTTTTTTTTTTAGCAAAACCCAATCCATGGAGTATAGGTATAAATTTTACTCCATACATGAACTAGAAAAAACAGTGTCTATATAGTAGTTTAGTATTTGCCTGATTACAGAACTAAAAACTTTTGAAAAGTATTGTGCACTAAAACTACTGTTTCTGTGGTTGAAGCTTCATGCTGCTGGTATAATGGAAAAGCCTGCCTTCAACATACCACGCTTAAATTCAGGGCACATCCTTCAATTAGGAAGTGAAACCATCTACTCACAGACACTGGTTGTTTAAGTATGTTTCTAGTACTCATTAATAAAGCCATGGTATTAAATCAGCTCACTTTAAATTGCTGTCTTGTCATTTATGCTTTCAGTGATAATGGGACCTGCATTTTATGCTCATTTGTGGTCCTTCATAAATCCCACTGAAATAGCGAATGCATCCTTTCTACCCCAGAGCAACACATTAGAAGAGGATTTTTCCTGGAACATGGGGAAAAATAGGATACAGGCTGACCTCCACCAACTCCGGAGGAAATGCCCAAGAAAAACAGTTCAGACCGGAGCTGAATGTTGATTTTCTGAGAGTATGCTATGAGGTAGAAAAGCTGCTTCTAGAGCCAGCAGAAGACACAGCTTCCCCAGAGCCAATGCATAATCTTAATACTTCTACATAAATGAGTCTGAACGTCTGCTGGTGTAACTAATCTGGGGTAACGGGCAACTGCCCCAACTACCAATGGTGGGGAGGGCTGTGTGAAAAAAAAACAGGTTTTTGCCACAGCTGCATGATTACAGCAGCAATGGCAATTGGAGGTTACCCCTGCCCCTGTGTGCAGCAGCTGCCCCAGGTGCTTAGCTACATTCTCATGCTACTGGTTCAAACTTCTTTTAGGTCCTGAAAGGGAAATAGAAAGAGCCTGGCAGACCTCAAAGAATTCGAACAGAAATGCTACAAGGTTCCCTCACTAATTTTTCTTCCCCATGTCTGTGTTGTAGGTTCTCTCATGGGAGGGCAATTCGACCAATATTATTCAATCCACTAGTTATTTTATCTGCGGTCATGGATGTAGTAAGCTAAGTTGAACACTGTCTTTACCAAACACTAGAACTGTGATGTTTCAAATATTTTTCTTTCATTGCATGGCGAATTTAGAATCTGGATATTCTCTAACAGAAAAAAAAATCTGGACAATCTGGACTTGACAGAGGCCTTTTAAGATCCTATTTTTAAAGTGACAGAATAGTTAAGGAGAAAGTAAGAAATCAGGATCCTAAGCACATAGACACACATTTCTAGGCTCTGAGTGATAGTAACGACTTGTCACCATCTATAAAATACCTGACAAAAAATTAGCAGTTTTGTGGGCAAATGGGGAAAACATTTTACAAAACTTTGCATCAATTTGAATCTATGATGCTAATTTTCAAATGAGTTTCAAGATGCATTATTTTTCCCATTTTACAATTGAGACTGGTGCCTGAGATACAAAGCAGGCCTAAACTGTCTCATTTGCCCATTTATTTGGAGTGATTCAGGTTGTTAAGAGTCAAACTTGATCCCCGTGTTATTTTTCAGATATAGATTCATAGATGTTAGGGTTGGAAGGGACCTCAATAGATCATCGAGTCCGACCCCCTGCATATGCAGGAAAGGTAGGGGAGAGCACCAGCTCCTTTGGGAGCCCGTTCCAGACCTTGGCCACTCTAACTGTGAAGAAGTTCTTCCTAATGTCCAGTCTAAATCTGCTCTCTGCTAGCTTGTGGCCATTATTTCTTGTAACCCCTGGGGGCACCTTGGTGAATAAATACTCACCAATTCCCTTCTGTGCCCCCGTGATGAACTTATAGGCAGCCACAAGGTTGCCTCTCAGCCTTCTCTTGCGGAGGCTGAAAAGGTCCAGTTTCTCTAGTCTCTCTCTGCTGGTTTGTTACAGCCTCTAAGGTCTAATTTTTCTTTGACTGCGCTGGTCTTTGAATCAGTTTCTTCCTACTTGTCTGCAGTGTTGGTGACAGAAATGATCCCACATACTGCATGGTTATGGCTAAAATGACAACAACGAAAAAAAAGGACAACAAAGCAGGCACTAAAAAAACAGCTGCTGAAATACCACCTGGACAGCTAGGCCAGGAACAAGAGGAGGCAAAGTATGGAACAAATAAGGAACCACTAGGATCCAAAAGTGCTAGAATCAACTGCTGATGTGCTAGAATCAAGTGCTGATGAACAGTCTCATAGTGACGTGTTCCTTTGGCGATATCAGTCAACAAGGAACTATGTAACAGTTTTGAGCAGAATGTTTTAAACGTGAAAGGGTTGGCACTCTGTGGGCAGTTTACAATGCAGCTTGGGGTCCCACAAGGTTTTCATGCGTTTTAAAAAACTGTAATTAGCTGCACTTCAAGACCATCTGTTCAAGACCACTTACTGCACTATAAAAATTTGTGATATTATATAGTATCATATGCAATGTAACATCTGCTTTTAAAATATAACAAATATGAGTTTATACTGCTCATACTTTATAAAGGGAACTTCATAATGGGGCCTGTATTTTGTTTGTATCATATATTTTTAGTGTTTCATCAGATTGCGCTGGTAGACTGGATTTTATTAAGTCTGTACAGCAGAGCTGTCAACTGGGCAGTTCTGAAAGATTAGCACATGGCCTACAGTCTCCTGGCAAGGCTAGTACGCCTCTCCCATTCCCTGCCATGGAAGCTGGGTTCTTCAGGGTCCCCTGGCCTCCTCCAGCTTCTATGTACTTTTTGTTCCTGCTCCTAGGGGTGGTGCAGTGCAGCAAGAGATGTGTGGGCTGCCTAAGCTGTGTGCAGTTTGGATGTAGGCTGGGATGCTTTCACTACACGCAAGGAAGGCAGGAGCTAGGCTACCTGTACTGCAGGTGGGCAGATGCCTAAGAATGGAGGGGAGTTTAGAGAATGTACTAGGGGGCTGTGTTGCAGGAGGGATGGGCTGTCCATGAGGCGCACACAGTCGGGGAAGAGGGGGCTGGACTCCCCGCATGGCGTGCAAGGCCAGGAAAGGAGAAGCCAGGCTGCTCGCACTGTATGCACAGGGAGGGGGGTGCACTAAGCTGCCTGCGCGGCAGAGGACAGCCCAGTTGTTCTGCCTGGTCCCTGGCTGCCAACAGCTGGACAACCCTGCAGCAGAGGATTCTTTTACATATTTACTGTATTTACTTGAATACAAGACAACATCTCAATAGATGTCTGAGACACTGAGTTGACATTATAACAAATTTATAAATTTGCTATTATTTTCCAGGTACAGAATATATTTTTGCAGCTGGCCTTGAATTTGTCCCTCTCCTGCTGCTACATCAAGGAAAATAAATAGGGGGGAGGGGGGGGAAGAGAGGGTGCATCACATAGCCCCCTTCCCCTTTGCCCCACCCCATCTTCTTCTCCCTGCAGTCCCTTCCCCCCGCTCCTTACTGTCAGGCCCTGCTCTCCCTGGCACGTGGAAGTGAGGAGCTAATTTGAAAAAACTGACCCTGAAATGAACATAATTTGCCATATAGGCAAATTACTACAAGTACCCGTAGACGTAGGTCATTCAGAATTTATGCTTTTTATCTTTTTAGAAACTGCGGCAAGCTTTATCAGAAGTACTCCATAAACACACATTAAAGCAGCACTTTCATACCTACTTATACATAGTACAAAGTATGTTTTTGAATTTTTTTTCCAAGGCCAAATCAGTTTCAAATCAGTTCCAAATTCAACTGGGCAAAGCCCAATAGGCAAGTTCCAAAAATCAACTGAGCAGAACTCAATCGTCAAGTCTGCGTAGCTCTACCATTGGGCAAGTATCCTCCCCCTCCCACACCCAGCAGTCTGGGGCTTTGGAAATTCCCCAAATCCAGACAGGCATCCTACATGCAAGCCCCAGGGCTGGAGGGCCTGGGGTTCAGATACCCCCAGTCTCGCTTGATCTTAGCCAAAAGGCCAAGAGGCCAACGTATTAGCCAAAAACTATGCATGTAGTACAAGCTATTTTTTTCCCAATAATATTTATTTATATATCTCCCTATACCTATATATATCTATATCTTCCTGTACCATTACAGTTCTATCTCATGGCTGATTTGGTTCACTTAACAGTCCATGACACACACCTACAATTAAACCATCATCATCCCTGTTACAATAGTTGCAACTGCACACCCACATACCCATCAATATCTTCTTTACCCATCACAATCATGTAGAAAACCACCTCAGCACCCTCTTCCTTCACCTTGCTCCCCCCTTCCAAATGCTCCACCTGTTTCCCCAGTCTTCTCACTTCTCGTTGTCATAGTCATCACCATCATTGCTATTGTCATCACTGTCGTCATCACTCTCTCTGATGGTCCCACTTCTGAATGGTCTGTGGCAATCTCTTCTCTTCCATAAGTCCTTCACTGTCTTCTACCCATTGTTTTCTTTCATCTTCTTGTAGTACACCTGTAGCTCAATCACTCCCATTTTGATGTAGTCCTTGACTTGGAGGTCCATGTGCCTATATCTGACCAGGTTCCTATTCTTCCACAGGGTGCTCCTGAAGCAGGAGATGAACTGGTTCAAGCAGGCTGTCAGGGTCCCTTGCTATTTTGTCAGGTATCTGAACAACTCTTCCTTTCTGGGGAGGGTCTTCACCCCTGTACGATTACTGTCCTCCACCTTCCTGGCATACAGGCAGTTCCAGAGGAGGTGGTCGATTGCTTCCTCCTTCCACTGGCAGGTTTGCATGGGACAGTTTGGTGAGCTTTTCTGCCCCTGTATCTCAGTGCCCACATGGAGAGTGCCCAATAGGCAGTTCAAGTCTCTGTGCTGCTTCTGAAGGTCTTTGTGGAAAAGCTGCTCTCACATTGCCTGTCAGCTATCTCTGGGTAGTACGTCTATGGGTGACAGTCTGTCCCTTGCCCTTACCATCTCCTGCATCTTATGGTGGTTCATCGGGGCCACTGGGTCCTTATTGTGCAGTTCGCATTTGTTCCAGAAATGTTCCAAGACCTTGTAGAATCGTGTCGGCTCCAAGGTCTACAGGGTGAGTTGGGCAGCATTATACCTGCCAAAATCACAGTAGATGCCCTGCAAAGTATCTTATGGAGCATGCCATTTTGGATTCTGCCCTGGTTGCCAGTTTGCAGATCTGGCTTGTGTATTTGGCCCAAAGAAACAGCAAGATGTTCAGCACTCTTCAGCCCCCAGCCCATTTAGTCTTGTATGGTGTAGTTCTCACAACCTCTTTCCATCTGGAGCCCCAGAATATTCACACAGCTCTTTGGATTCTACGGATGATTTTCTCCTGGAGGGGAGGGGGAGACCAGTACGGTATACAGAAACACTGGTAGCAACACCACCACATGCCACTCCCCTCCGCCCCCACTGACAGGCAGCACATGTTCCACAGTTCCAGTCTCTGCTTGACTTTGGCCTTGGGTCTTTTCCCAAGGCTCTGTCTGTTCAGCTCTGGGTCAAACTCCATCCTGAGGATCTTCATCCCATCATGGGGGATAAGATCCCCCAGAGCTGATAGGTCTCTGAGTTTACCTAGTACCAGGCAGGTACTCTTGCTCCCATTGAGCTTGGCCCCAGCCACCACTCTGTATACCTGTGTGTGTTGTAACAGTATTTCCACTGACCATTTGTCACTGCACAGGGTGCTGAGGTCATACATGGATGCTAGGACCCTTGTCTCTGCCTTGGTTCTCCTGGGGATCTTCACTCCACTCATCTGAGTGTAGCAATCTCATCTGAGTCACTACACTAGCAGTTCCATTATGCAGATGAAAAGGATCAGGGAGAGTGGGCAGCCCTGCCAGACACCCAACTCCACTGTGATCGGGGCGGTCAGAAACCCATTTACCAGTGCCCTGGTGCTCACATTGGTGTACAGCATCTTTATCCAGGTAATGAAGGTTGGGGGGACCCTATCTTCTTCGAACAGGAACCACTGAGACACTTGGTAGTAGGCTTTAAGTCGGGATTCAGCACAACGGTATTCAGCCTTCTGTCCTACTGACATCACAGTGCGCCCCACCGTTACAGCAGGGCTCCATGAATCTGTTGCTCCAGCACCATGCACAACTGGTCTTTGTGGATCACAGTACCTATAACAGACTTAAAAACACTTGGCGAGGATTCTGGCTACTAGTTTATAGTTGAAGTTCAGGAGTGTTATGGGTCTCGAGTTCTTCAAATCCTCCCTTGCCCCTTCTTACACAGCATAAGCTATGCATGATATTAGTCCAAAGCCAAAAGACTCATGATTTATGACATAGTTCACTGGGCTGGCCCCCACCGGAGTTTAAAGTCATGGTAACCCCACAGCACAGCACTGCTTAGTATGTGTGTATACTCCAGACACCCCCACAAAGAATCCATGTACTACTAATTAGCCCCTATATGTCCTGGGAGTCTCCAAAATTTTATATGCGGATCAGGTTTAAGGGAACCTGGTCTGGCTTCACCTGATAGAGGGTGGAACTAGACCAATCATATGTAACAGGCTGAGAAAAGGGGCAACAAAAGGATTCTAGGTGAACTGTTTGGGGTCCTGCTTGGTGATATTTGCCAGACACTTAAGGCTGGTGAAGAAACAGGAATAACTGGAAATGGGAAGGAAAGGCATACCTCAGCTGTGAGAGTGAAGAGGATGCCAAAATATATGCTATGTAGTGGCTTACCATGACTTGAAAAAAGTCAGTGCTGAGGGGCACTGAGTGCAGTGGCTACTACCATATATCTTATTCAGATGGGCTGCACTAACCTGTTCTTGTGGTAAGTTATCTGGCAGGGGAAATACCATAACCACCAAGGTGAGGAAAACCACGAATGTGGCAGGGTTAAGCAAAACGCAGGGGCACCCGAACCTTAAGCCCCCAGGCTTGAGCCTGCCTGCAGGATGCTTACCAAAGGATTTGGAAGCATCTGAGGCCCCAGGTGGGGGTGAAGGATGCTTTCTGGTAGCAGGGCCATATATGGTTCTTGAATGACTCTCACAAATTTAGAATTGATTTGGTTGATTTGACTTGGGACAGGAAAAATTTCCTTAAAAAAAAGTTTCCATCAGTATGTTTGCTTCATGTGGGCCATGTATTGTATAGTCATACTCAGTGTTGGCTGCACTTAATCAGCTTCATAGTTGGTTTCCACTAATGAGAACATGCTGCTTTTGGTAGCAGTTTAATGATACACAATGTATTTAATGAGGTTTCCCTGTATGCAATTCTAAGACAAGGATCTTTTTTCCCCCGTGCTGATTATGGGAAAAAAACCCTCATATTGTATTCAAGTAAATACAGTATTTATTTAACATCTTTTCTTCATTATGTCATTCGTTATTTGTGTATCATCTGTGTTAAGATGATGTCAATCAATTGACATCACCATGTCGGAAACATACGTTTATGTAAGAGTCAACAACCCAACAGGGCTTTGTTCCATAATGTACCTTATTTCTTCCAAGGACACAATGTATATATGAAAACCAGATTTTTGTTCCTTATGAAGATATTTACACTTCAAAGAAATAGTTTGGAACATCAAACATCTTCACAGCAGCATAACCATTCTACAAACAGACTATTTTGACTAACAGTGAGAAATAAAAGTGAATCGATTCCTGCTATTTAAATAAAAGATAGGAACAATTAATTTGTTGTATAATATATACAAATATACACACACATTCGGTAGAAGCCATATTACAGAGCTTGCTAGTCTTCCATTGAATTTCTTGCTCCTCCCTTTACTACAGAAAGAAAAAAATCTCCAACTTAATGCACAGATCAACCTGTAGTTCTTGGTAAGCTAAATCAACACATCAGAAGGGGGCAGCTAGCAAGAAAAATTATTTACCTGAAAAAAACAGAAATTTCAGGCCCCACATATAAATAATTGGATTGTTTTGTAAGTATTCTAAGTAAATCTAAACAGTGAAAGGCTGAACTCCTTTGACAGGGCATATCACATGGAGCAAGAAAATGAGAAAAAGAAAACGAACTCAAGAGCCTGATAGTCAACTATCAACTAGTGATAGCCGAGACACAAATCTTCCAAGTTAGCAAATTTGTTCGTTCTGCAGTTATTATAGTTTTATAAATGGGACACGTTTTAATAATACATTCTAAAAAAGAGAAGAGATAACAGCCATTTTTCTCATCCGCTCAACCAATCCTACCTTCTTTATCTGTGGCAGGGGCACCCAGAGCATCTCCAAGATCTCCAAATCTGTCTGGACTGCTAAACACTGACATGCCTTTTGTATTGCCTGGAGAAGGTTTTTCCACAGTTTTCCATCTGGCATATTCAGAAAGTTGCTTACTAAGACTACATGAAAAAGGAAAGAAAATGCATTAGGTAAGAATAATGGCATTTCAATATATACTTTTATTGTGACAATAATATTAATTATTATAAAAGGAAAAAGTATAACATTTTATTAGAGACTATAGTTGGAATTCTAAATGTCAACAGCTGTTATTTTTAAATATATATACCTTAATAATGTACATATATACCTGCAATCTGGTCTGCAGACACACCCTAATAAGTCAAGGGAATTTATCATATGTGTAGATCAAACTGTGAGATCTTGACCTTAGTGTGATAGTGTTTTGTTGATATGTGAGATAACAGGTAAAATAGAATACAGAAGGACTTTCATATTTAAAGGACCTAGGCCTTCTAACATTTAATATTACAGATTTACTAAAAAAAGGTTTGTAATCAGGATATTACATATACCACAGAGAGTGGTCATGCACATTTAACTAAGTTATCTTTTAACAAAGATGGCATTTTCTTAAGTAGGAAGCCTCTACCAACCTGAAGTTAAAAATCAGGGTGGAGTGTAAAATGAAATATTAGCATAAAGTTTTCTACAGTGTTGGGTTCCTCAGTTATTAAGAAAGGAACATCACCCTTGAAGAAATTTTGACACTCCACTTTCTCATCTAGCATGCCTATATTTAACAGGAGAACTACAAGAACTTTTTCTTCCCTGCTTCTACAAGTGAACTGGATTCCAGAAGGGCCAATTCAGCATTTCAAATCATGTGTGCTTGAAGTTTTGAAACACTAACAGGGAAGTTTAAGCACTAATAACTTTAACTGCTTCAGACAGACTACAATTTTTGCTAGCAGAAGTAGAAAACTGTGGGGATGTTCCCATGTGCAGAGGCGTGCATTTCCAGGGGCACAAAAAGCAGCAGCACGCATTTGTGCTGCTGCTTTGTGTGTCAGGGCATGCTTCTGCACATGAGCTCCGGCGCACGCCAAACTGTCCTCGGTGGGGTAAGGGAGGCTGAGGCCAGCACCCGTGCTGACCCCAGCAGTTACCTGGGGTCCTGGGGCCCTCCTGGGGCAGCAGTGTGACTGATTCTCCCTCACTGCCTGCCCCCCAACCTCCCTCACCACCTGCCTCCTCATGACCTGCCCCCACTTTTTTAATCTTACTTAACTCTTGATCTCAGTGATCAATTGTGGCAATGAGTTTCACAGGTTCTATAGTTATAGAAAAATAGAAATGAGGTTCATATGTTGAAATGAATTATTTTACTGCTTATTTCTTTGCTTTTTGTGGTGTATACTGGTATCATACACATTTTAGCAAACCTCCTAAGACTTTTGTGTACAGGAATTTCCCAGGTGTTTATTTAAATAAATATGGATCTATGGCACACATTACCACAATGAAACCTTCAATTCTCTTTTTAATAAGTTAGCACACCAAATTTGAAGACTATATTAAAAAATATGGGAAACAGAGATTTCAGTCAGCTTTAAATAAAAATCTCAATAGATCCTGAACCGTGAAGTTGCTACGAAAAATCAAATTTGAAGTTCTGACAATGACAAATTTCCCATTTTTTAAAAAGACGTAAAACCTTACCCAGAATATCCACCAAGATGAGCATAATCCTCAGCTGTACATCCACTTACATCTTTATGGGAAAGATCTGCACCATGCTCAAGCAGAATTTTTATTAAACTAAGCTCTCCACCAGAAGCAGCAATCATGAGAGGTGTCCTAAAATAACCAAAGGATTGTATTTAATAATTCATTTAGTAAAATCTTTCACCTTCATTGCTTGTCCTCCAATCTTTCCCCTAATGCAAGTTAAACACATAGAAAGTAAAACACGCAAAATATTCTCATTATTGTCATGACCCAAAAGGCATGATTGTGTGTGTGCTTCGGCACCAGAATTATCCCCGCCAAGTTGCAGAGCATTGCACGGGGGAGTTTACTGTTGCAGAGGAAACCCCGGTGCAGGGACAAGTTTCCCGCCTTTTCTGCAGCTTCTTTTGCAGAGTGCATTGCTCGAGTTGCAAGAGGAATGCACGGTGCAAAAGAGTTCCCGCAACCGGTATGCAAATTCATCCCCCGTGATTGGCTAGTGCTAAATTATTCACACGTGGCGGCTAACGATTGGCCTTTTAGCCGTATAAGAGGCTTGAGCAGTTTCCGCCCAAGCCGAAGAGGACTCCACATCCATTTCGTGAGGACTCTGGGTACACGGCAGGGTAATAGAAACCCTGTGTGAGATCCAGAGGAGCGTGGCGGCCTGATCCACCACCCACCTCTTCCCGTCTTCGAGCGCGACTTTTATAAGACATATCTACGATTTCCATTTTGGTGGCTCGTTCACCCAGAGCATCCGGAGCTCTGCACCGTGGAGCCTAGCAACCTCCACGAGACCGTCTGTGTTGTCTGTCTGTAACTGCAACTCAATCAAGTTTTCCAGCCTACACCACTGCCATCTCAGTGTAAGTAAACAATCTTTAAAACT